GAGACCCGAAGCAGGAATCTGCCGCAGCCAACTATTGAGAATCCATCGTGAATCGTCTGCTTCCATGCCAACCATCCGACCGTCGCCGGACCTTTCTCTCACAAGTGCTGATGGCCGCATTGTAGGATATGTCAGAAGCTGCGATGCGCGTCCGATCCATTTGATAAAGCAGATGCAAAGAGCTCTTCCAGCAACCAGCCTTCTCACCGGCACTGATGGCTCCGTTGAAGCAGATCTCGTTTGGAAGCAATCGTGACCGGGACATGGCTGACAGCCGTTGAAGAGCCTGTGGCCACATTGAGCCTTTCTCACAAGCACTTATGGTGCTACTGTGGCTTATTTCGTCTGCGCCCGTCTGTGCATGGCCAAGGCCAGAAAGAAGATACAAAGCCGCCTGCCACTCGCCCACTTTACCCACGGCGCTGATGGCAGCATTGAAACTGACATCGTTGGGCTGGAGCTGTGCTCGGGACATCGCAGCAAGCAGTTCAAGCGCAAGCCTCCATTGTTCACCTTTCTCCGAAGCACTGATGGTGGCTGCGATGTGAACGTAGTTGCAGCGCAAAGACAACACAAGCATTTGTGTGAGAAGCTGCTGTGCGATCTGCCACTGCAGCCCCTTTTCACAAGCACTTATTGCAGAACCGATCGTGACCTCGTTGGCACTGCACTGTCCATCTGCCATGCCAGAAAGCAACCGCAAGGCCACCTGCCACCGCTCAGAGCCCTTCCAGGCACAACCATGGATTGCTGCGCTGAAACTGACCTCACTTGCACGAACCATGGCCCGAGGCATGGCAGTCAGCAGAAACAAAGCGAACTGCCACTCTGAACTCGTGGCACAAGCGCTGATGGCCGCATTGTAGCTGATGGTATCCGGCAGTAGGTCAGCAGTTGACAATCCAAACAGCAGTGCCAGTGCCTTGTCCCATTGCCCGGCCTTCTCGCATGCGCTGATCGCAGCGTTGAAGCTAACCAGGTTGGCACCTACACTTGCAATCCCCATTCCATGCAACAGCAGCAGTGCAACATCCCACTGTCCACCCTTCTCGCACGCACTAATTGCAGAGTTGAAACTTATCCGATCTGGGAGAATAGCTCGTGACGGCATATCGAAAAGCAGCCGGAGAGCCGTCTGCCACTTTCCAGCCTTCTCAGAAGCGCTGATTGCTGCATTGTAGCTGATGGTATTGGCTCGAAGCTGCCTGCTGGACATCTCCGACAGTAGCTGTAAGCTTACGTCCCACCTCGAACCTCGTCCGCAAGCGCTGACGGAAGCATTGTAGCTTATGGTGTCTGCTTCAAGTTCAGCTTGAGACATGTCTGCTAGCAGCTGCATGGCAGCAGACCAATGCCCCGCCTTCTCACAGGCACTGATGGCGGTATTGATGCTGATCTCATTTGCAAGCACATGAGAACTGGCCATAGTCGAAAGCAGCTGTAGGGCACTTTGCCAGCACGCACCCTGCACGCAACTGTTAAGGGCTGTATTGTAGGTGATAGCATTAATCTGAACTTTGGCCTTCATCTCCAGAAAGACTTGCCATGCTTGGTGCCAGCGGCCTACTTTGACCAGCACCGCAAGGACCATGTTCAGACTTAGAGTTTCCGTGGGCGTTGTCACCGCCTCGTGCGCCAGAAGATGAAGCGCGGCTTGCCAGCGACGGGAGACACCACAGGTGTGGATGTTGTTTGCACCAGCAATTTCATCAACTGCGTTTCGTCCAGCGCTCGAGGTGCCCGTAAGAACATCCATGTCCTCGCAATGGCGTGCTGCTGGCATCGGCTTCTTCACCCTTGCCAAGCTCCTTGGAGGGTGCCTTCTGCTGGCAGGACTCTGGAGGTTTTGGGGAGCCACAGCGGATGCAAAACAAGCCTCGTGACCTCACATGGCCCAACAAGCGCAAAAGGGCTGGGATAGCTGCGTGCAACCGTAGGTCCCCCCCACTGGCTCCCTTCTGTTTCAATACGCAAGCACGCTAGACCACAATCCGGATTCTGCAGCAAAAGCGTTGGGTGCCTTAATAACAACAACAGAGTCTTGGGTGTACATCCTACCAGGTACTGAGACTCAACATAAGGAATAATGTGGCCCTCTCGACAGGTCTGCGAGTGTTTTGCTGGTCTAGGGTGGTTTATTTGCCCCAAACCCTGGGTCTGCAGGTGATCTGTGGTTCAGGCTTTCGGGTTCAGTGTTTTGAACTCTGGTCCCATTCCAGAGAACCGCAATGTTTGGGTCAAGACTGACCAAGCGCTGCCTCGGCGGGGCATGGGCAGCGCTTGCCAACCTCGCCTGCCGCCTTGCCAGCGCAAGCAATCCGGGTGTTGTTGGAGCCGGTGAGGGTCTTCCGCCGTGTGAGAAACGACGAAGGGGGCTTGCCAGAAATCTCTAAGCATCCTGCAGCCAATGACCTTAACCTCTCATGAGATTGCAGCTGGAATGGCACGGAGTTCCAGGCAGTTCTTGCGAAGTCACAGCTCCACTACTGAAGCTGCTACCTAGCATGAGCTAGACGGCTCGCAACCCTAGCCCATTGAAGCCCAGCCTGCACCAAGGGCTCTTGGACCTTCATCAAGCAAACCGAGTGGAGCACGACGCACAGCACATGTGGACTTTTCACGTGGGCCATCAATCGGAACCATCCAGCGCCCTCCCCCCCAACAAGGAAAGCTCAATCCAAATCCAGTCCACTGGAACCCTGTTCTTCGGAAGTAGAGGTTCAAAGGGATCGGAGAATCAAGACTACAGGTGGATACATGTTTATATGCAGAACTCTTAAATACATGTCGATCCTGGCGATGTGACGGATCCTGCCCACAAAGGAATCCCCTGTTTGCCTCCTTGTCTCCTTCCTGCAGAGGAATCCCCCTTTTTTGCATCACTTGTGCAATCGCCTGAAGGTATTCCTCGGGACTCGACTGCTGCCCTCACTGCCCAGCTTGACCCACATGACGGTACTCCCCAGACCCCCAAAAAGATCTAAAAAATAGATCCCCTAAGGGGGTTCCTATAAAGTACCCTTTAGTAGTTAGGGTCCGTAATTAGGGGATCTATTTTTTAGATCCTTTTGGGGGTCTGGGTCATTACCATCCGCCAAACCCCGAAACGCCTGAGCCCATGCCAAAGGCCTTGCGGACCAGGTTGAGGCTGCCGTCTGGGCCTTTCACCCGCGCCAGGCCGGGATGCCAGGGCTGCGGGATCCTGGCATGAACTAACCTTATGTTCGTAGGCTTTCTGGTGCATTTCGGGCCTTTAGGGTTTCGGGTGAAGGGCCCAGATCTGTTAGGGTGTGGACTCCTCCTTTGCTATGCAGGGTCTAGGGATGTTAGGGCTCTGAGGGCTATTAGGGTTCGCTGTTCAGGGCTTTTTTATGCCTATCGGGGCTGAGAGTCCGGCTCCAGATTTAGACTCTGACAGCTGGGAGACGCCAGGATGCATTCATGGGGGTGCGAGCAGCTGGTTTGACTAACATATCACAGTTTGCTATGGCAAGTCCGACTTCATCGCCGCCTGCTTTTTGGGAAGAGCTCTGTGGCTCTCTCTCTATGGACAACATACATGCAGCATGCGCATGCTGGGGATGGTCCTTCGGGCACTGGATTTGAGACTTCGGGCTGCGCCATACATGCCGTGAAGATCCGGATCCGTGTAGACATGCATGCAGAACATCAAACCCTGTCCACCGGTGCACAAGAGCCCTGTAAAACTGAGCTGCATTCGAGAAGTTGGGCGGAAGGATAGCGGCAGACCCTAAACCCTAAACCCTCTTGGCCCAGCCTGAGGCTCGGCGAGAAGAAGCTGCTAGCAACGCTTGCTGGCAGCAGCGCCCAGGTGAGCAGCGCCAGGGCACGGCTACATTGCCTAGCTCCATGTTTCTCTAGGGTTTAGGGTTTTTTGGCAGCACAATCACTCTGAGCTCCAAGCCTGTGCACATCCACATAGGGTTTAGGGTTTAGGGTTTAGGATTTAGGGTTTTGGGCTTCTAGACTCTAAAGGTTTCTGCATTAGCAAGGTGGCGTTGGGGACTGGGTTTGGTAAAGGCTCTACACCCCAAGATTTACGGACTCGGAGGCTTGGTCTCTGTCCCTCGCAGGACAGGGAAGGGACCCCTGCACCCATACGTCTTTCTTTCTTTCAGTTGGGCGTCGTACTACGTCACTGCGCTAACCTTCGGGCCTGAGGCCCGCCCACCCACTCCCTATTCTAACTAAGTGAGTGGCTCAACAATCCCCCTTTCTCTCAAGGGTGCAGGCTACAAAGGTCATCCGCCTCGCAATGAATGCGCCAGTTCTGCAATGTCAAAGTCGATGTGTTTTGTTGTATGCTACCAACAGGAGCTCGCTCAAACGTATTGAATAAAAGAAAGCCTCCCACCTCCTCACACTGGCCCTGCAGTCTACGGATAACGTTGTCTGTCCAGAAATGACCGGGAACAGGAAAGCAATACCAAACTGCAGCTCAGCTGCATGGCTCCGATCGTGCGGAAATCCGCACTGCCAATCGCTGCCCGCTGTGCGTACTAACAAGATATGGACTAAAAAGGTTCACGCGGGGTTCCCACTGCGAACACACGCATGTACTTTGACATTCATGTTCTTCCATCTGCAGCGGAGCAGGCGGAGCTGCAAGCCAGAAAGGATTCAGCGGATGCAAAGACATGACATGGGCAGCAGGCACGAGTAGACTCGACCCTCTGCCAACGGAAACGGGTCAAGGCCAAGGCCCTGCGACAGCAACTTGAGGTATCTGAGGGTTTAGGGGGGTTTTAGGGTTTAGGGGTTTCGGGTTGTAGGGTTTAAAGTTTGAAGGTTTAGTGTTTATGGCACCTCCAATTTCCACGTGCGAGCCGAGGAAAGCCCCACCCGCTGGCCTCCCAAATGAAGCCTCCAGGCTACAGGGAACAACCAAAGAACGGATGCTCGAAACACCCGAAACCTCGAGCGGCACCCCGGAAAAATAAAAATAATAAAAGAACAACGAAACGGCAGGCGAAAGCCGCCTGCCGGTGCGGCATCCGCTTCTCTATGGGCAGGGACTCGTCAAACTCGAGCATGCCAAGAACCTTGGGAAAGCTCGGCGATGCCAAGCTAGACGAAAACAGGGGGGGAATGTGTCGTTTCTCATCTCTGGCTTACCGAGTTCTTTGGGAGCCAAACGGCCATACTACACCAAAAACCCCCACCAGAATACTCAGAATCCGAACTGCCCCTTGAAAAACAAACCGATCACAAACAAACCTGGGACATATGCGTGAGAAAGAGATTTGCAAATGCTTTCCTGCTGCCAAACCTGCCTGAATCCCCGAATCCCAAAGCTTGACAAACCCTCAAACCCCAAAACCCTAAACCCTCAAACCCTTTTGAGCCCAGACTCTGCCAAACCCTAAACCCTGAAACCCTA